CCTTTGAGACGGATTTTTTGGATTCCGAATTTTTTCAACTCTGCCCCACCAGCAGTTCTCGGCGTTTTTTCTCCACCAAAGATAAGTACGAGCATTCCGTCTCCCCCCCTCTCTGCTGATCTTCAGCAGTGGTCCGAACATTAAATTTCGTTCACTCTGCTGCAAGTTTTTCCGTGTCGACTCCAAATCCGAGTTTTCCTGACACAACGGTAGTTGAGGAATTTCCATTCTTCCATTCTCTTAAATTTGTGGAAATTTTCTATCCGTCTCTGCTTTGTGTGTGTCACCATATTCCCATATGATATTCGATTCTCGGTTCCTCCGTTTATCCGGTGTACATACACACATACTCGCGCGTCAAATATTGGCATCTCCGCGAAAACCAAAAGGCAAAGTGAAATAGTATGGTGAAGGAAAATAAAGGCATACTTAATATTAGGCATCCGGAAAGTAATTGTTTCGGGAGTTCCATGTTCGCCAAACAGTTCGCCGCTGCCGTGATATTTTTTGTGTGCCAATTTTATTCTCAACATAATTTGTGCTATTCCGCCAATCTAAATACAGTCCACTCCTCGAAGCTCCACTGTGCAATAAAAGCCCTACACATACACATATATTTCCATACGAGGGTATGCTGATAAAAAGTCGGCTTTACAAAGAAAATACGTTTTTTTTTTAATTTTTCTTTTTTATATTTCAACATAATCTCCTTTTAGACGTATGCACTTGGATCCGATCCTCCAGTTTCCCAATACCTTCCATAAAATAGGATTTGTCCAGGTCCTCAAAATAGGGGTTTGTTTCACAGACTACCTGTTCATTTGATTGAAATTTCTTACCCCAAGCCATTTTTTTAAGTTTGGAAATAAATAATAGTCACAGGGTGCTAAATCTGGAGAATAGGGTGGATGGGGTAGAATTTCGTAGTGCAATTCACACAATTTGGACATGGCGACAAAGCTCTTGTGAGCGGGAGCATTGTCCTGGTGAAACAAAACTTTCTTCTTCGCCATGTGCGCCTTTTTTTCTTCAACTCCAAATCAAATCGTCCCAAGAGATTGAAATAGTATTCTCCCGTAATTGTTCTGCCTTTTTCCAGATAATCCACATGAATTACACCTCGGGCATCCCAGAAAACCGTTGCCATTGCCGTTGTCGTTGTGTATGATGATGAATCCAGGTTTCGTCAACAGTCACAAAACGACGAAAAAATTCGTTTTTGTTTGCGTTAAGCAATGCCAAATTCTCCTTCGCAATGTGCAAGCGGTTGCGTTTATTTTCCATTGTGAGCAATCGCGGCACCCATCTTGACGAAAACTGACTCATGTGTAAAAATACGTGTAAAATATTTCCAACGCGTTTCCGAGAAATTTTTAGAGCATTTGCAATCTCTCGCAGCTTGATTCGGCGATCATCCAATATCATTCCACGGACATTATCCACAATTTCTGGTGTTGTCAACTCTCTGGGACGACCCGGGCGATCATCGTGAAAAATGCTTGTCCGCCCGCGTTTAAATTCAGCAGTCCAATATTTTCTTGTTAAACTTTGTGTAACTCCTTTTTAATAACTTCGTTGGACTTCTCGTTTAAAAACAGAAATCTTATATTCGGCGATCATCCAATATCATTCCACGGACATTATCCACAATTTCTGGTGTTGTCAACTCTCTGGGACGACCCGGGCGATCATCGTGAAAAATGCTTGTCCGCCCGCGTTTAAATTCAGCAGTCCAATATTTTCTTGTTAAACTTTGTGTAACTCCTTTTTAATATCTTCGTTGGACTTCTCGTTTAAAAACAGAAATCTTATGACAGCACGATATTCGATTTTATCCATGTTGACGACAATGCAAAAGTGAATGCGCCAAAAGTCTCGCCAAAATTACCAGTGTTGATAAAACCGCATGAAACTTTCACAGTAATCAGCTAATAGAAAACACTAATCGAATAAAATATTTATGAATTTTTAACAACATTTTTTCTTTGTTAGGCCGACTATTTATCAGCCCACCCTCGTATGCATGCATGCCCAGCAAGCACTTGGAAGATCGTAATCATCTTGAGGTGTCTCTTTCGAGTCATCAAAATGATTAAAAAAAAGATTTCTCTTATGCGCGACTAATAAATGACTCGAAAATGTTTCCAAAAAGAGTCGTAAATTACCTTTAAATACGATTTATAAAATAGCAACACAAAATTGTAAAGAAATCGAAAATTGATCATCCAGATGATTGAAATGAGATTATTTTTTGCATTCGGTCAGAGAACTTGGAGAGTCTAATCGCGCGCTCTCCCTTTTACGTGCATTGTGATATCTGTCTTATCTCGTTTATCTTTTTTAAGCGGTACTTTTCGCTAAATTTGAATCGTTTGCTCTTATGTTCTGCATTTTTAAACTCAGTTTAAGTAACTTGCTAAGCTTAGTGAGAATAGGTAATGTGTGCCAAAGATCGTGCATCAAGAAGAAGGCGATTGGAATACTTAAGTTTTTAGTGATATTATTTTTTAAATTTGAATGATTATTATTTCATATAAAAAGATGTATACCAATAAAAAATAAAGCAACAAAATATGGAATAATTAATTTATTTCACTTCTAATATGACTCTAAAAAGAGTCCCTAATTACTATAAATGGGACTTAAAAATCATTCCCTTATTGCTACAAACATGACTTGCAAACGTTCAAATTTCGATTCAAATATGACTCGAAAAAGTGTCCCCTCTTGGCAGAAGGAGGAGTCCGAAACGACTCTTCCAGAAGAGTCGCGGCTAGGGGTCCATTATCTCCCGAAGACAGCGTCATTTATGATCAGAAAATGAGCGCATATATGCTCATTTTAATCAGAAAGGGGAGTCGAAAATGTCTCTCTTATTTATTAAAAAAGCTTAAAGACAGAACTAAGTTAGACGTGAGATAAGCAACTACATAAGGTTAAATAAACAATTTTATACCAACTAAAATAATTAAAATGTTATTTATATCTAATTAAATGTTAACAGAGCTATGTTAACAAAGGGGGTGGTATGGGTGTACCAATCCAAGGCAAAGTCAACAGGGCAACTGTTGATGAATATTCCTTGGCTCTAATGGTACACCAAGTCGACTCGTAGGTGAATATCGGTTTGATAGACACCACCTTCTCTTGGGAGAAGGTCCTCCGCGTGGTACCTCCTGGAAACGTACTGCGAGCGGCACCTCCAGTGAATCCCTCACCTAATAATCCTCTGCCTCCCAATCCCTACCGAGACATGGGCAAGTCTTAAAACTACCTCCCCTCAAGTCAGGCGTGTAAAGCGACCCGTGCCCACTGACTATAAGGTTCGCAGCTGAGGGGTTAAACCAGCTGTGTTCGAACGGAGCCTTCCCAGGGCCGGGCAACCCTGGGTCGGAACGAGCCTTGCCGTGGCTTAGGGGCGAAGCCACGGTCGACCTTCCTTCAATGCCCCGAACCCCTCGGACCCGCCGCGCTCGCCCTGTCGAGCAACGCGGGCGTTTATGAAAATGAATACAACTAAAAAATCCGCTTCGGACCTCGTGGGGGAGGTAAAACCCCACCACAAATCGACGGAAAGCGAACTCGACGAGGAGGAGCTACTGCGCTCAGACGACGAGACGCTAGCCCCGTCCAATACAGAGGGAGGTGTAAAGACAAGCACACCTCAAACGACACAACCAAAGCACACTAAAGCGGCGGCAAGGCAAGCCAAAGCGACCGGTGAACACGGGAAGACAAAACCGAGGACCCACCAACAACGAAAGGCGCAGGCAAGCAAGGCCCATTTCATCCTCGCCAAAATAGCGAGGAATGAAAAGGAGGGCAAAGCCGACCCGCGCGACGCTGCAGACAAAGCCAGATTTCTAGCAGTGATCGAGGAATACGAGCGCTACGAGAAGGAGCACCCAGAGACGTCTTTGCCTCCTCAAGCAAAGCGCAACCGCTCACAAGAGGTGAGTGAGAGCGCTCCAAAGAGGGCCAAGGACGCTAAGGGAGCACCGAGGCCGACCACGTTCGTCAAACCGGCGAAAAAGTTCAGCGAGGTGGCCAGAGACAGCCTCGCAATGGCACTTATAGACGAGCTCAACGACGATGGGCGCCTGCTGATGGAGAAATGGGAGGAGGTCGAGACCCAGTTGGCGGAGATGGTAACCGACAAATTACTGTCCGAGCCAACGGGCCAGTCACCCTCCTTTGACTCCTCAGACATGGTTAGGGGGCACCGGGTAATCAGGTGCGACGACGAGTTTTCGCGGGATTTCCTGGCGGATTGCGTTGCCAGTCTAAGCAAGGCATGGAAAGGGATTAGCATAAAGCTAGTCCCCGCCAAGGACATCCCAAGGAGACCCAGAGCTCGCATCTGGTTACCCAAGGGGCTGTCTAGCCATGAAAGGGTGCTCAAGACTCTGCGAGCAATGAATAAGGGAGTCGACATGGAGGACTGGGCCATTCTCAGAGCTGAGAGAGAAATGAAGTCCAGCCAGCCATATCTGTTCTTAATCAACCAGCGCTGCCTAGAACAGCTGAAGGCAGCAGACAACAAGGTCCGGTACGGCATCAGGAAAGCCAAGGTGAAGGTCTTCCTAGACGAACCGGACGACATCCTGGAAGATGAAGTCGAGGACGCCAATAAGCTGCTGGACGATTTGGCGATCGACGACAACACCCCCAACACCACCCCGATCTAATGCCGACAGTCGTTCAGATAAACCTGAAGCGCAGCTCCCACGCTTCAGCTAATCTGGGGGTCCTTCTCCGGGAGAAGGACATCGACATCGGCCTTATACAAGAGCCATGGACGAGGGACGGACAAATCTCTGGCATGGCCATAAAGGGATACACAACACTATACACAAACTCGACAGGTGGGCCGAGGGCGGGTATAATCGTTAAAAACAATCTTAATGCTCTTCTTTACCCCAACCTCAGCAACTCAGATCTAGCAGTGGCAAGATTTAAGGCGGCGGATGGGGTATGCCATACTAATAGCCTCCGGATACATGGCCCACGACGAACCTGCACCACCTGAAGCGTTTAATAGGGTGATGCAGTGGGCCGAGGAGACTAAGACGACGCTCATCCTCGGGTGCGATGCCAACGCAAGGCACACACTGTGGGGAAGTAAGGAGACAAACGAAAGGGGTGAGTCTCTCTTCGATAGTATTATATGTCGTGACGTCACTATTTGTAACAAGGGAAACACGCCCACCTTCATCTTTCCAAGTACGGAAGGATTTCAAGGCTGGGAAGAAGTCCTAGACATAACCCTCCAAATGGAGCATAACGATTATAAGGTAAGAAACTGGAGAGTCTCTACACAAGACTCGTTTTCAGACCACAGATACATATTCTTCGAACTCGTGATGCCGATATGCGAAACGGCGCCGAAGCGAAACCCTCGTAACACTGACTGGGACAAATACGGAAAGATTGTACAGTCAAAGGTCAAAGACAGAAGGATCAAGACTCGATCCACCCCGGAGAGAATAGACAAGGAAGTAGAGGACTTCACAAATATCCTGAACAAAGCCTACAAAGAGTCATGCAGACTAACATACTCAAAGAAGACATACCCACCATGGTGGAACAAAGAGCTAAGCGAGCTCAGAAAGAAAGTTCGAAAAGCCTTCAACACAAGTTACGGAACCAAAGACTGGCAGCCGTACAAAGCAATACACAAAGAATACAAAAAGGCAATCTACGTAGCCAAGAAGGAATCTTGGAGCAGCTACTGCGAATCGCTTGAAGGAGTCAAAGGTACGGCGAGGCTAAGTAAAATCCTATCGAGAGGACACACAAGCCCCACGCTCATAAATAAACCCGACGGGACAGGAAGTACGTCGGCTGAAGAGTCACTGGAAATCCTGCTGAATACGCATTTCCCAGGAAACCAAAAAGAAGAACCTAGAATAATGGAAAGCCAGGGGGCAGACCAGCAGCTACAAGTAGAAGAGATCATCACCATGGAAAGAATCCATTGGGCGATAGATTCCTTCGACAAATACAAAAGCCCGGGTCCAGACGGAGTAATACCGGCAATGCTACAAACAACGAAAGCAAGCACGGGAAAATGGCTGCAAGTAATCTTCCAGGCATGCATTAAAACAGCACACATACCACTTCCATGGAAGGAAGCGAGGGTAGTCTTCATACCAAAACCAGGAAGAAGGGGACACATCCAAGCCAAGGATTATAGGCCGATAAGCCTTACCTCCTTCCTAATGAAAACACTGGAACGGATCATTGATATCCACATCAGAGAAAGAACGGAGAAAAACCTTTCCAATGCGCAACATGCGTACAGGAAAGGCCGATCCACGGAAACAGCATTACACGAGGTAGTGCGATACATAGAAAAGGCTCTACTTTTCAAAAACTACGCCATGGCCACCTTTCTGGACATAGAAGGAGCCTTTAACAACGTCAATGCGGATTCCATCCTGAGTTCCCTCAACGGTATAGGAGTAGAGGGAGGCATCAGGGCATGGATTGGCGCAATGCTGACGAGCAGGAGGATAACAGCCGAACTGAGTGGCACTCATCACACAAGATTTGTGAAGAGGGGCACACCTCAGGGGGGAGTCCTGTCCCCACTGCTCTGGCTGATAAACATGGACGACGTACTAAGAACACTAAATAGCGAAGGAGTAAAAGTGGTAGCATACGCAGACGACGTAGTCCTACTCACTTCAGGACCATTCCCCGACGTCATCAGCGAACTAATGACAAGGGCACTTACTAAACTCAATGCATGGGCAAAAGCCTGCGGATTGGGCATAAATCCTAGTAAAACGGAACTAATGCTCTTCACTAGAAGAACTAAGGTCACTAGCTTCACAAAGCCAAAGATAGATGGCATAGAACTAGAGATATCACAACAGGCAAAGTATCTGGGAGTGCTACTGGATGCGAAACTGTCATGGAAACAAAACATCAACGAGAGAGTCAAGAAAGCAAGCATAGCATTCTATTCCTGCAGGAAGATGTTCGGAAAGAACTGGGGCATCCACCCCAGGATAATAATATGGCTTTACACAGCGGTGGTAAGACCCATACTCACATACGGTTCACTAGTATGGTGGCCAGCATTAACTAGGGCATACAACGTACAGAAACTAACAAGGATACAGAGATCGGCATGCGCAGGAGCCACAGGAGCACTGAGATCATGCCCCGCGGCGGCGCTGAACGCCATCCTAAACATAATACCGATAGAGCATTTCATCAGGAACACTGCAGCACAAGGTGCGGTACGACTAAAGGCTAGCCAAAGCTGGAAAGACTACCACACCGGGCACTGCAGGATTCTGAACGAGATAAACTATCGGACGACAGTAGACAGAGACTACAAGACAACCGAACTGCGATTCGGTAACACATACACCACTATATACCCTACAAGGGAAGACTGGAAGAGAGGGAGAGTAACCGAACCGGACGAAGTATCACTCTACACCGACGGTTCAAAGATGAGCGACGGAGTAGGGGCCGGAATCTACGCCGAGAGCTGGAAGGTGGAGGAATACTTCCACCTCCCAGAGTCAGCGACGGTTTTCCAGGCGGAGGTTCTCGCGATACTGAAAGCTGCCGAACTTTCGCTAGACCGAGGCCTCCGGAATACCAAGGTGAGGATATACTCAGACAGCCAGGCGGCGATCAAATCCCTCGCACAAGCACGGACGAATTCAAAACTAGTGGCCAAATGTAAAGGGGCACTAAACAGACTAGCAGAAGACAACAGGGTACAAATAGCCTGGGTACCCGGACACAATGACATAGACGGAAACGAGAAAGCAGACGAGCTGGCCAGAAAAGGGTCAGAAGAACACTCAGCAGACATACAGATCTCAGACATACAGATCTCCCTGAACTCAGTCCAGACGGAAATTCATGACTATTTCAAAAAACTAGCCAGCAAGGAATGGTCGACGAAGGCAGAGCACAGAAGATCGAAACTATGCTGGCCAGAATTCAATAGGAAGAGAACCGCAGAACTGATCTCCAAGAGCAAAAAGGACATCAGGAGGACAGCGGCAACCATCACCGGCCACTGGCCTATAGGCTCGCAAGCCTGTAAGATGGGTCTACCCTACAACCCACAATGCAGAAGCTGCAAGGAACCAAGCGAGCAGGAGACACCAGAGCATCTGCTGTGCCACTGCCCGGCACTCAACAAACAAAGAGCCCGACACTTCGGAGCACACCAACTCGAGTCACTTGGGGAAATTGGAAGGCAGCCAGTAGCGGCCATCCTACCTGAATGACACGGGCTGGTACTAAGTAGGGCGCAGACAACAACAAATCGAGGGTGTGGATCAAAACGGAGCTCAGCTCTAATTGGAGGCGGCCAGGGCTGCCTCACCACTTATACCTACTGTTTACGCCAGGAGGCCCCTGCTCCCCCTCTGGCCACCGAGCGTCCAAAAGCTTAAGCGTTCCCAGCTTAGCAAAGCTCGCCCGCTCTCCGCTCCTCGGTATTACCGATCGCACGCTCCGTGTTCCCGATCGTCGCTCGCTTCTAGGGACGGCTACGCCGCTCTAGTTCACGGTTCTCCCGCTCTCGCGCCGTTAAGCTGGGCTTCTCGGCCGGCAGCGGGCCCTTAGGCTAAGCTAAGTTCAGTACCGAATCGAATGCGAAAATATATGTATGCTACGGGCACTCCGCCGATGTCATTTTTCGACCCCCGAATTTTCTGCGTTTTTTCTACTTCGTGGGATAACCTTTTATTGATCCTTTTGCGGAGGATTGAGCAGCCACCCCACTCCTAAACACCTACCTACCATGTTAACAAAACTCGCGCATATATATTATATTTATATATTATTCTTTTCAAACCTGAGTGGTTGGGCTTGTATGGAGATGCGGCCAAAAATACTTCTAGTCTATATATAGTTACGAAATTAATACCAAAAATCAAGAAAAATGTTTTAAGTATATCCACTAAGAATTGGTCATATAGCTCGTCTATATCATATAGCTGTCATCGGAACAATCTGTTAAAACTTTTTTGTTTTTCAAAATATCTTAACCAATTTTACAGATTATATGTTTGGTACAGGTTTATATATTCCTACCAACTTTGGTTAAAATCAGATCTCTATATCTTATAGCTCCCATACAATCTATTATATAAAAATAAGTCGAGTTTTCTGCGGGGATCAAATAACTCCAGAACGCACGAACCGATTTCCACGGTTTTGCATTCGTTGGAAAGGTCTCGGAATTTGTGATTTTATGCAGTAAAGAAAATTCAGGAAAAATTGCAACAGAAAGCGGGAAAATCATTTTTGCATAAAGCGCCAACACTGACACAGAGCATGCCATAATTCTCTACTCAGTTTATTTTATGACAAATCGAAATTGTGTTCATTTTTTAATAAAATAAGTTATTCATATTCAGTTTGCGTTTCATATCAGTGCAATTGGAAACCAGCATTTGTATTTAGGGTGGTAAGTTGAACTGTGTAAATTATGTGGATTAGAGGTTAAATTAACCGCTCTGCCTATAGTCGAAAATGCCTATAGCACGACGTGTGAACATCGGTCTCCGCACAAGGCATGCAATCCAGCAACAAGTGTATTCACAGAACTTAAGCGAGGAGAGACGAAATGTAGTAAGGGAAAATGCCCGATTGAGACAACGCGTGGGCACACGAAGATCAACTGGTGTGCAGCATCTAAGCGGATCCCAACCAGCGTGGCAGGCTCCTAACAGCAGCCTTCCTCGACATAGCCATCGACCTCAGGACAAATTTCAAGAATCCTGAGATAGAGTGCTAGAAAATATTCGTTATCCGAAGGTGTCGCGGGTGAGACCGTGCCCCCGGTGTTGCCCATATCCGTTTTGTCCACTGGACGGTCCCAACAATTGTCCTCTCAAAGCCCCAGTTCCCTACCAGGGTGTCAGGCCCGGACTACCGGCCGAAATTGGTAAGGCGGATAATCAGCTTACCTTGAAAAAACCCCTTATGGCAATACCACCAACGAGACAGTTTCATCTTTCCTCTATTGTCGGAACTTTCTATTTATTGAAACCATCTTTCCACTATTCAGTTGGTCTCTAAAAGACTTTCGGAAAGCGACCACTTAGTTAGTAGTTCTTGGTGATTTTAACATCCCAGGGGCTCTTTGGTCCCTAGATAATTCCATTAACCACAATACATCACAAAAAATGTGATTTACCAAAGAACACTTCAATTAAACGGATAATTTGCCGAAGGTGGCGTAACGGAGTTCGCCTGGCTTACTAGTCTTTTTATAAAATTATCTTTTTCCAAGACCTAACTTTAATTTTTTATCTCTTAATGAGAACGTTGGTGAAATATAAGTGCCCCAAAGTGAAAAAAAAATTATGTACTTTTATTAAATTAGCTTAATGAATTAAATACCATATAAGAACACAACATTTGAACTATTATTTTTTTTTTTTTATATTAAACAAGAAAGGAAGCTAACTTCGGCACGCCGAAGTTTGTATACCCTTGCAGATTGGTTTTCATATTTATGTCATAAATTATAATGCCGAAAACACACACTAAACTGACCAAACATAAACATACCATTTTACCTATACTTATTATGTTTACAGATTGACAGTTACAGTTATACATTCCCAGCTTTACATTTTCTCTACATCTGCGGATCGCTTCTATGGCTGCTATATGATATAGTTGTCCGACTTTCATAAAATGTATACCAAAATTCTATAATAATAAGTAAAGCTCATATCTCAGAGTAGATGAAAATACGTTGAAAAACAACGAAGTTATAATTTTTTCTATTACTTTCCCTATCGTTCCTATGGCAGCTATAAGATATAGCCGTCCGATTTTCATAAAATTTTTACCAAAATTTTGAAATAATACCAGAAGCTCATGTGTCAAAGTAGATTAAAATACGTTGAAAAACAACGAAGTTATAATTTTTTTGATTAATTTCCCGATCGTTCCTATGGCAGCTATAAGATATAGTGGTCCGATTTTCATAAAATTTTTACCAAAATTCTGGAATAATATAAAAAGGCTATATCTCAAAAATGATGGAATAATATTGAAAAACAGCCAAGTTAAAATTTTTTTTCTAAAAATTTATCGAACATTTGTATGGCAGCTATATGATATAGTCGTCCGATCCGACCCGTTCCGACATATATAGCAGTGAGAGTATATAGAAGACTATATGCAAAGTTTCATTCAGATAGCTTTAAAACTGAGGGACTAGTTTGCGTAGAAACGGACAGACGGACGGACAGACGGACAGACGGACAGACTGACATGGCTAGATCGACTCGGCTTTTGATGCTGATCAAGAATATATATACTTTATAGGGTCGGAAACGTCTCCTTCACTGCGTTGCAAACTTCTGACTGAAATTATAATACCCTGCAAGGGTATAAAAATATTTACATGCTTACGAGTAATATCGAGTCCCCACCAAAAAAAAATTTATTTTCGGTGTACATCCTAACTGTTCACACTGTCCGATATGAAAAAAATTGATTGCATTCGTTAAAGGATAAGTGCCCCAAGGTACTCAGGTGACGTTTTTATTTTTTTTTAATTTTTTCCAGATATTTTATCAAAATTGGAAGTCACAGCCCGGATTAATGGCTAAAAAATTGGGTTAATTTGTTTTGTAATGGCAAATGTGCTGCGGCAGGCTTCCGCAGCTGAAGTAAACATTTTTATAATATTTAAATATTAGCAAATACCGGCACATACATTTCATTCATTCCTTTATTTAATGTAATTATTTGTTCCCTTGATTAGTTATTATATTTTCTGTATATGCAATTACCAAAGTAGACAAAAGTGAGCCTCCCGAGAAAATACTGGGAAATAGCCTGAGGAACGCAAAAAAAATTTGGGCTCCGTAAATAAAAAGCGAAGATCCGAGGATGATGACATGTTGAATTGTTGTTGATGACAGCCTAGGACATGCCCATGTTAAATTCTTCAACAGTTTGTGTGGCAAGTCATCGATGAATCATCACCTTTTCGGCTGTTGATGACAGGTTGATGAATGGTACTGCAGGGTACTTTTAAGTACACGCACACAATACACACAATAGTAATATTCATCATACCCTATAACACCCTGTACACTCTTGTCACACTTTCCTAACACACTCCTTGCTACCCAAAATTATTATGATTAGCATGAAATTATCTTCTATTTGAACCTAAATGGGGGACATAAAAATTAGTATTACTATTTTTTAAGAGGGTGGGAAGTAAAATCTGATTCCTTGAAGAAGTT